CATAAATGTTTTAAAACACATTGCAGACTAGACCTTCAGATGGGAAATTAAGGGAATATTACATTTGTGTAGTAAATACATTTTAAAAAAGGCCATGGTGAAAATGAACTTGCACACATCAATAAATGAGAGATCTTAATAATCGGGAGCAGACTAAATTCTCTTTTGCATGAGTGTGGAAATCCATGTAATACAAGCAAACATTTGGCTTAAACTTTTGTGCCTTTTCAGATGATTTCTGATAAATTGTTTTAAAAAAATGTTTTCAGAATCTCCTGCAAAACTCTGTACAGACAAAATGAAAAGCTTAAAACAGGTCTAAAAAAGTGATCCCTGCTAACTCATCAAGGAAGATTTTTAAGTTTCCCAGTTGTATAAGAATTGTTCCTTTACGTTAAGAGACTGTGATGCCGGATGTTAGATAAAGACAGGCAAGCATGAATGTAGGTCAGCATTGAAGAGAATTGTGTAAATTGCTTTTGTGTAAATTGCATTTATGCTAGACTGCTACTCTTGTTGCAGTAAAGGGGTACATGACTTCACAGTACACTATCCTAGAAAAGCATGGGTATGGCTGTCAGAAATATTAGGCCTTGACACATTTCTGTGGAGGGAAAAATTGCAAAAACCTACGTTTTGAGACTGGAAAATTCATAGATTTCTCCCTCCCCCACCTCCCCCCATAAATCAGCTATTTTAGGAAGAATCTACACAATCCTAACACAAAAATCAATATTTGATAGGAAAATAATTCACTGTGTTCAGAGCTGAGCAGTCAGCAACAAGAACTTCAGGTTAGCAGTATTTTTACTGAACTGTTCAAATGCACAGGAATATTAGCTGAGGATAAAAACAAATATCCTTACTCTTTTGCCTCCTCAAATACCCTTCTCTCTCTCTCTTTCTGTCTCTCAGTCATTTCTGCTACCAAATGTTCATTGGAGAAAGTTAGAAATACATGGAACAAAGACCTTAATCCATAGATAACAAATTATGGAGCTTTAAAGAAAGCTCAAACCTTCAATGAACCATAAACCTACAGCTGAGGCTCATACAGCAAAAAGCACTTTTTAAGAATTATCTGGACTGTATCCAGGATGGCTAAAGTAATGATCAAAGCAAATTACATGTGCTAGAAGTATGGCATACTGAAGGCTGATCTAACACATACGTTTAGGGAAAGTCTATTTATAAATTCTTGGCTGAAATACTTCAAAGGACAAATCTGACCTTGAGCAGCCATATTTACGTGGGTTCTAGACTGTAGGGGATCTGTGACATGCCTGTTAGTAAATCTCATAGGGACAGTCTCTATTTAGAGCTAATTTAGTAGCCCAGAAGGCTAATCCTTTAACAACAGAAAACATCTATGGTAAGCTTAGCCATTAGACTTTTGAAGATAGATCCCAGACTGAAGTGGAGCTATAATGAAAAGACTTCAGTTGGTTTTAGATAGAGTCCTTGCAGACTGTCCTTCTGTGTAAATTATCAGGGGGATAAATGTAAAGGAATATAGTTAGACAAGGTTCTTTGGGTAAATCTGATATTTTATTAGTTGGTTTATTAGACCAACTCAAATAGCTGGAAAAATTCTTCTTAGCAAGCTTTTGGGGTTAAATACCCTTTGTCAGGTTGAGGAAGCATCGGCAGTTGGTGTATGCTGTTCCTGGATGGATGGTAAAGAAGCCAGAGGCTGGTATGCATGCAGGAAAGCCAGTCAGTGAAGTTGAAGAAAGCCAGTCATTGAACTATATAAGGAATATGGTTGTTTCTTGATCTTTCATGGACCGGGGGTGGGGCTGGGAGTGGAGGGAAATGTGTCAATATGTAAAACTTACTCCTGTGTTTTAGAAATATAACAGGCCAAAAGGAGAAGCACAGATAGGTGTTAATTAACTTCAGATATTGTAACTGGATTGCCATGTTGGCTCAGGCGATTCCTCAGAGATTGTCCATGTGGCTGTTCCCCTGTATTGTCTCCAAGCCTTTGCCCTAGACTGGTGATTTTTAAACTGTGTTCTGTGGAACCTGGTTTGGGGTTTCTGCAAAGAGATTAGGGATAATGGCAGAGTGGGCCAGGAGGTGGTATGACCCCTTTGCCAAGCTGGGTTGCCTGGATCTGCATCACTTCATACAACCTATACAGCCGGGGTGGGGGTTCCACAGCAAAAGTGATATGAAGGGGTACTGTAATGTCAGGAAGTTTGAAAACCACTGCCCTGGATCATGCAGGAGATCTTTCTGGATGGAAAGGACAGGACCAGTAGCCACCTGACTACCTCTGTGGGCAGTGTGCAGGCTGTATTTACTTCTGTACAGCTTATGCCCCTTTTGGGACAAAGCAGGCAATTCCTGGGCCAGCTAACAGACAGAACTAGCTTGGCTGAAGCATTAGGCTAGGACAGATATTCAAAAAGCCTGAGCCTGAATTGATTCAGTCTTTCCAGGTTAGTCTAACCTGGCTAGGCTGAACTGGTTTGTAACTGGACAGATGTTCTCTCTGGACTGAGGAAATGCAGTCACATGCCTGCTGTGGCTCAGGCTAGAAGCCAGGGACACTAGAGCAGCCCTCCTTTCCCTTCCACAGAGCTGAGCTGATGTGGGGCATGGCCACAGGGGGCTCTGATTAGGGAGGGGAACTCCCCCTCCTGCAACGCAGCAGGGAAAGTTTATCGCACCCAACTCAGTGTTAAGAAAACAACTCCACCCCATTAAAAAAACAACAAATGGACATTACCAGCTACCTGTCCTGTCTTTGTCCAGCTTGGAGGTAGCCAGTACAGTATGTGGTCTGCTAGCTAATGCTGAGAGGTGTCTGTGAGGGATGGGGGAATGCCTGCTTAGCAAAGAGTGGGGCGGGCAGGTGGGGAGCAGAAGCCTGCAGAGACTGCTGGAGCTGCAGCCAGGGAGCAGAGGGGGAGGGGTGAGCCCTGCTGTGGAGCAGAGAGCTCCTCCTAGCCCAGAGAGCGTGTCAGGATGCTGGGGGAGTCTGGTTTATCTTAAACCAGCAAGGGATCTGGGACAGACATTGCATAAACTGGTTTGACCCAAATCAGTTAAGTCTGATACTACATTCAACCAGGTTTATCTTGACTTTGTTTCAGCCTTCTCAAACTGATTTATGTGCACTGAACATCTGTTCTGTTACAGGTGTAAACCAGTGTCTGATCACTTAAATTGGTTTATGTGTAATGTCCCTAGCTTTGCTGCCAGAAGGCAAGAAGGGGATGGGGAGGCAGTGAGTCTCTCTGTGGTAGGTCCTGGCAGGTAGCAGACTCCTGAGATGCCTGTGTGTTTGGAGGCAGACATGGTGCATCTGTGGCAAGCCTGAAACTAATGTTTAATTACACCTTGTGGCCTAGTCAGTGTAATGCAATGAGCAGCAGCCCTTAGGAAGATGATCTCTCCGCCATTCCTCTGCTAACGGTATCTCTATTACTTGCAAAAGTTGTATTGCTCATAAAAAAGACTTCTACAATTATTTACAAAACATACACCACTCAGATTATTTGTGTTTATCTGCCATCAGATCTGTAGTGCTACATTTTGTCTTGCATTAAAGCAAACGCTGTGCTTTTTGCACACTTGTTACATCAGATATTCATCAGTTTGTCTTTCTGAGATGCACTGAAATAAGACTTACAGATTTTTCTTCACCGCGTCTTTCATGTCCCACCATCGTCTGTCTATTTATCTTACTTAAGTATACTTTAAATTGCTGTTGACGCTGCCTTCAGTGGTGTTAGGAATTCCCTTTACCACAAGGTGTCACTATGAGCATTGATTTCAGGGAGCAGAGAGGGCTGGGATCAAGGAATATAAACCTGGGTGGGAGACCCTTGGGATTTCTTCCCCAGCAGATTTAGCATAGTGGTGCCTTTGTCTTGATTTTTTGCCACAGTGTGTAAATCACTTGTCCTGAGAAAAAGACCAATTCTGAATTATGGTCATGGTTCAATCTTGCATTATTTATAAGGGAAGGAACTTTTAGGTGTCTTTTCATTTGCCACTTGTCTCAAACTGTTATTTTGTTCATATTTTACAATACGTGTTAAAAAGAACACTGGCAATCCTTTATAATAACAATAGCATTTTCTCCTTGTGTGCCTTGAGTTGAAAACTGATCTGGAAAGGAATCTATACTGAAACAAACAAATTGTAGTTCATCGTAAATGTTGTGCACTTTCTGTGACTTGCTGTTCTGTATCTGCATCTAATATCAAATCTTCAGTTTTTACTCTGACTATACTGATTTATGTTACCTTTGACATAATTTAAACATAATTTCCTTTGAATTTTCCTTGAATGGCACCTTTTAAGCAAAGTATGATTGAAGGCCTTTCCTAGTCTCTTACCTATTTCAGCTATCATTTTTTGCAGTTGTTGCCTATCAATGAGGGAGTATTTCTCTGTATGGTACCAGTTGCCACCACTCAGGAGCAGTGCGTCATCGTATTGTAGAAAGTTTCCATTCGATTGGTGCAATGAGCCAAGCTCTGATCCACAAAGCAAATATTTAGTGGCAGCTTGTCACTTGTGTTGCTTCAAGCAGTAGTTGCTGTGACATGTGAACCTGGTTTGCCAGGTCAAACTAATGAGTCTCTATTATTATTGTATTTTCAGTAATAAAAACAAAATCTCTTTTGAGGCTGTACCGTAGTGAACAAGGCATGGCACTATGACCTCTCAGTAGACTTTACCCTATGTGTTCAACCATTTAGAGCTTGAAAATGGCTTTCTACAGAATCGTGGGTTTTCAGTGCCATCAGCAAGGAGGAAGAATCCTTTCTGGAGAAGGATCAGGAAATCTATTTGGTGAAAAAGCTCAGAGAAGCAGTGGTGCACTGGGAAGGATTTCTACTGAGCCAGAGGCTAAATGTTTAAAAGTGGAAAGGGGAAAGATAGGGGGTGAAAGGGAAAGCCTCTTTTCCTATTAGAAACAATTAAGATGCCCATGAAACATTTCTTTATTGAATAACAAGATTTGCTATCTTTAATAGTTCAGAAAAGAAGTACGATTCTGGCACTGGATGGCCTTCATTTTCTGAGGCCTATGGAACATGTGGCAGAAATGAAAGCAATACCAATATCATGAAGCGTCCAGATAACTCATTGGGATCAGCCAGCACGGAGGTCCTTTGTAATCAGGTATAGATATACCTTGGAGACTACACAGAATTATCTTTTAAATATTTTCTCCTTTCTTCATCTTTCTATCGCCACATGCATGTTTAAACATATAACAACATATAGGGTTAATAGGTTAAATTTTCAAAACCACTTGTGATACAGGAGCCAAAATCCTATTGAAGGTCAACTGGACTTAATTTCATAAGTGACCTAGGTGCTTTTGAAAGTGTTTGCCCTGGATTTTATTTATGCATTTATATAATTTTACAAATGTACTTTTTGCATCCACATGGTTAGCAAGTAGATCTGTCCAGAGGTACCGGGGAGGGCAGCTATACCACAGAGATGTTTTTTTTTCTCAAACATTGGAATACAGAGACATGAGACAAGATCTAACAGTAACATAAAAAAAAAAATTGCTGAGGGAACATCTTGCCTGTGAAGGAGGGGACTGGCACAGAAGGAAAAATTTCTAGAGAAATAGCAGAGAACTGTTACATGTATATCTTGGTTCTGGAGCACACTGTGTCAGACCTAGGTCCTCTCCAGTACCAGAAGCATTAACAAGAGGATGGACAGATTATTGCCATGGAGGGGTCAAGAACGTTGTGTGCATGGTGCTACAGCAATAGGCCTCATCTGCACCAAATAAAATAGCAGAAGGAATAGGTGCTCTAAGGCAGTGGTCTCCAAAGTGGGGTGCGTGCATGCGCAAGATGATCCATTGGGGTACGGGAAGAAAATATTAGAACTTCTATTTAGATGTATATTTATATAAATATACATATATTGGGGTGCGTGCTCAAAATTTTTTTACTGATAGGAGTGCGCGATCAAAAAAGTTTGGAGACCACTGCTCTAGGGAGTGCATTTCACTGTGTGTTACTGCTAATGTGGAAAAGCTGACTTCCTTTAAGAACCTTGTATTGCAGCTTGAGTACTTACCATTTTTTCTATGAATCTTGTACTGGTTTCTTTATTCTCTGAGTAAAGACATCCCTTTCTCAAGGAAATGTTGGGTAGTTTGAAGGGGGGGGTTCTCCTTGAGTGGTCAGTCTTGCCCATAGCTGTGGAACAGCAGTGTAGAAAGCAAGGTAGTGTCTGATTTCATAGATATCGGTGTCCAAGAAGATAATGATTAAAATTGTTTTTCTGTTGCAGTGTGATGCCCATCTTGGCCATGTGTTTGATGATGGTCCTAGACCTTCTGGTCAGAGATTCTGTATCAACAGTGTGGCATTATCTTTTAAACCAAGTTCAGGCCAGTAAGACAGATCTTTGCAACCTGTGCATTGAAAGTACCATGGCTTTTCTTGTGCATTGTGGAGAAGATGCAGTGTTAAGTGCCAAAGAAGACTGCACTATGGGGCCCTCGATGCTACTGCACTTTTGTTTCAGAAATATTGCAGATGTTGATAAAAATATAGTTATTGTGATTTCTAGCCCAAAATTTACATTGTGTTGTTTAATTTAGTTTTAAGTAGTTGATGCAATGAATTAGGTTTGACTAATTCTTATAAAAGTAGTTTTTATTAAATACTTCATTAAATACTTTACTTTATTAAATACTTTATTAAATACTCAGTTGAACTTCATGTTGTTGAAATAAAATGATTTCTGCAAAATGGTTTTGCTCCATTCTTAATATAAACCTATACATTACCTTTTAAAATAGATCAAAGTAGTTGTGGCCTGGATTTTCCTATGTATAGTTGCATTGCAGCATTAGAATTTTTGCTTCCTTATGATGAGATCATCACATCGTGCTAAAAAGGAAGAAAAAATTATACAAAAATACTAATAAGTTTGTCCATATCTGAGATGCTTTTAATCAAATCAGTGACTTCGCATTTCCGGGACCTACTGCTCACAGAAAAGCTCTGAAATGGTGCAATGCAAGCCCAAAATGTAATTGCCTTTCCTCCTTCCCTGTGATCCCATTCTGGCATAAGAGAAGCAAAAGGGCGTGGGATTCTAACATGTATTCTTCCAGATTTGAGTGAGGCTGGGGAGTCACAGGGAGAGATCTGCGGGCATTTGGGGATAAAAAGTCCTACACCACCTTCTGTTTTGCCATGCCACCCAGCTCTCTTCAGGGATATAAACAAAGTATACAGCACTGATTAACCTTGCTATTTTTCCCAGCTTCAAATTTAGATTTTAGTTTATTTGTCTAAGGGTAGCTCATTCTGGATGCTGTAAGACTAACTCCAGGTTTTGAATCTCTCTTGTTACAAGTGTCAGTGCTGGTGCTGCTCAGCCAGTGCATTGTGTAGTATAGGGTTGTCCAACTTTGGCAGGTCAGAGGCCACAGATGGTGCCAGACTCTGATCCATGCACCATGCAGGTCACATGCTGCGAGGTAGTCCCCCAGGATTAAAGTGTGCTGGCAACATGAAGCCCCCCACCCCTGTTGTTCAGGCTGCACTGGTGGCACACAGCACCCCACTGCAGACCCCTAGACCCTATCCCACAGTGCAGCAGCAAGAGAGGCAGCTGCCAGGGCCTGTGGGCTGTGTGGCCTACAGGCCACCAGTTGGACAGCCATAGCGAGACAGTTTTTGCACACTTGCTTCCAGAAATTTAGACGTACCCACAAGTGAGATCTTGCTACTTCCTGAGTCATTTCTGAATCATTCCAGCATGATTCTTCCAAATATTACTCTAACCCTAAAGGGGCTTCCAGCAATGAGAAGAGGGGACTTTTCCCATCACATTCAACAGTCCTGAAGTAAACAGAATTTTAAATATGCCTTTTATACTTTTCTGAGTATAAACTTGTACTTGACTTTGTGCAGCACACAATAAAAGGGGAAGAAACCTACAGAGATGCTTCACAGTGCATTCATGCCTTCAGGCTTCCCCCTCATACACAAAGCAGAGAACTTTGATTCCACTAAACTACCTGGGATTAAATTCTTCCTTGCTCAGAGTTACCAAGCAACATCAGCTTCACCTGTAAGAGGTGTGTTCCTTTTACCCTTCTTGGTTGCCTAAGGAATAAGACTGGTGTGTTGGTTTAATTAAAGACTTGCTGCCCAGTGAAATTCTAAAGACCTTAAACAATTTCAAGAAGTGAAGTGTTACTCCCTGTAATAGGAGATGCTGTCTTGCCTTGGGACTGTTTACAGAGTTGTATTTACCAGCAAAAATCTTATTTATTTTTGGCTTGTGAAGCCTTTTGTATCCCTGCCTCCTCTAGGTGATCACATGGAGGGCCCATGTCTGCACCTGTTGACAATACTAGGATGCCCCTTTCAATACAATGCATGGTTTTATCTGAGTAAAGCAAACTGAAAAGCGATTGTCAAAGTAAGCTGGGGCTGGACTGCCACATGCTGGTAGATCATGCAGGTGCTCTGCCTGAACACAGTAATGGTCCAACGATAGCATTTTGCTTTCAAGCTTAAGTGCCTACAATTCCCCCAGGCCCTGTTGAAGTGGAGTAGACCATGGCTTGTGCTGTCCTAATCATCTGGCCAGCATAGATTCGCGCCAGTGTGGCAATGGCTGCCTATACACATGCTCAGGGGTGGGAGAGGACGTTTTAATTAGAGTAGTTCCCGGAGAGTCGCTCTAATTAAAACACTGCATTGTCACAGGTATTAAGCCCCCACACATTTAAAAATGGCCATGGGACACTTTAACTAAAGCACCCCATGGCCATCTTAAAACTTAGAGGGTGGGGGTGCTTGATGCTGAGGGGATGCTGGAGCGTTTTATTTGGAATGCAGAGCAGACGTCAGTATTCGAGTGTGCCCTGCTGCATTCGAATTGCAATGTGTCAGAGCACATTTATAGGCAGCCAATGGTTTTAACTCATCTCTGTAGATATTTTGGCATCACATGTGCATACCTGTGGAAGAGAGGAGTCCTTCAGTTCAACTTCGTGTTTTAAAACTGACCTGAGCTATATGGAACTAAGACACTCTGGGTAGGCATATTAGCTTGCCACTCAACACCATAGTACTTAAGGCCCAGATTCCCAAAGGTATTTAAGCACTCCACTCCCACTGAAACAGTTGAGGTTGTGGGCTTCATCACTGGCCACATGACATAGACCCTCAGAGATAAAAGCATGCACACAGAGACCACCGACAAGTAGCTTAATGACTCTGGAGAAAGTGGCTGTTGTAGGTTCAGCCCTTAGTGAATTGGCAAGTGGGTGACTATCCCAAAAAGTGAAGGCTGCCTGCGCAAAGAAGGAGGGTTTCTTCTGTAACCGTAGGTGCCATTGTGTCCAGCCGGAGGTTTGACTGAGGCAAGGACCTGCTGGTAATTGCCCACTTGTGCTGCAGAATGACCTGAGGGAAAAATACCTTAGCTAAAGTTTATCTTGCTAGTCCTGGTAAATGTCGTTAGGAAGCAGCCACCTTTAGGAACGGTGTCTGGACTGTTTACACCATTTAAAAAATTGTACTTGTGTGGACAGTTCTGCTAACCATGAGGGTACCACTCCTTTATAAAGTTAAATGTGTGTCAGTTTTTGAAGGATAAGAGCCTTTAATTGCAAGCTTTTTGGAGTCAGGAGCAGTTTTTTATTGTGTCTGTATACCACGATTTGGATTTTGAGTGAAGGCCTATGTATTACTACACCTCAGTAAGTAATAAGGAGCGAAGGGGCTGCTGTAGTGCAATGTAGTCTATATATGCTGATACTTTTTGTCACAATACCTGCACCCACTTTGTTCCTGCTTATCAGATAAAGGGCAGCAGCTCCTCTGAACTGGGGACACTCTGAGGATTGACAGCAACATACTGTTCCTCCGTTTCCCTGGGAAGAGAAAAGATGTATAAAATTACTTTTTTCAGTAGTTTTGTATTTTTAATCAGAATGCTTTGTTTTTCCTTTCATTTAGGGTTTCCATAAAGCTATTTTATTCTGCTTTTATTTCCTACTTAAATTCTATTTAGATCATTTATCCTCCTAAATCTAGGATGGGGTGGCTAAGTAGCACAGGCAGCTTCTCTGTGTGGTACATGGCAGATCAGGGAAGGAGCAGGCAGCACGCTGACAGACAGACAGGGCAGAGCGGTCGACTGAGCAGGGAGCACAGGGCACGGAGCAGAAGATCAGGCAGGGAAAGGGCTCAGAGTGGCCAGGCTAATTTGTGGCACATCTGCCAAAAAAGTTGGTTTCCATTTATCTAGGAGGATCATTTCAAACATTTCAAACTAACGTTTACAGCATCTCTGCAAGGCAGGTCACTAGTATCCATTTTACTGAAGGGAAAGCGGGCAAAGAGGTTGAGGAATTTGCTCAAAGCCACATGTAGAGACAGCAGTAGAGCCAAGATCAGAATGCAAGCATGCCTGGCTCCTAGGACTGAGTTTAGATCACTGTCTCTCTCCTTCAGTTCTGGTTTAACCTTATTTATTTTGATTTCTAATTATGAAACTGGGAAGTAAAATTAACATGCTCCTACCTTCTTAGCTGGAGTATCCAAACCAGGGTTAAGTAAAATAGGACAAATGGATGGTGCATATGGAATGATATTCACTTGTCCTGTTTGTTGGAGCAAAGGAGGCCCTGGCTTGGTTTGGAAACAGGTGGCTGCATGGGGGTCTCTCTGGGCATTATAAGGAGGAATTGCAGAACCCAGCTTTGGTGAACGACTGCAATCCCTAGCAATGCTTTCTACTGCCACAGAATCCAAAATGAATAGTAGTTCCTTAAGTTCCAGGTCAGCTTTAGAAGGAGATGGTGCAAAATGACTTGGGTGGTGCTATGTCCTTTTCTTTGCAGGCGCCATTCATTTTCCTTGGGAAGGAGAGAGGACAAGAAGAAAAGGAATAAGCTGCTCCCATGTTATGAGTAACTGCACTCTCTTCTCTACTGGAAAACCTAAACAAGCAGCAACAATCCCAGTGTGTGTTGCTATGGCCACACACCCACAGAGGTACTAGGCTGCTCTCGTCCTCCCCTTTACACCATTTGTTTCAGTCCTATTCATGCATTTGGTTTTGAAATATATTGAATTCTTACTGCAAATCCCACTGTCCCAGAATGTCCCTCCAGATGGTAACCTTTTGCTTCATGGTAACACATTTCCAAGGAACAGGATGTTAATGGCATTTAAGCAGGCCCTGGGTTTTTAAGCAGGGCAGCCTCTAGTGTGACTGAAACACACCAGCTAAATGTGGGGCTTCCTACTGTCAGCTTTGTCTTTAGATTCATCATTGGATCTAACAGTTGTTCTTCAGTTTCAGAGCTGGGTTCATTACAGAGCAAGGTGAAGTCTTTCTACAGCCACATCAGTGTTCAGCACAGAAGAACCCTACCATAGGATTAGTGCAGACCCACAGCATAAGGAGGCCAGTTGCCTAGTTCTTGAAGTGGCTTGGACATGTGAGTTTAGATGGTGAAAACATCCCACTTTTGTTCTTGGTGCATGTGGACTGTACTGGCAGCGTGTGCCTGCTGCCCAGGAGCGTATTGACCTGTCAATCTTCAAACTTCAGCGTCCTATGTAGATGCTGGGAGTCCTGCCACCAAACCCCAGGGCTGGCTCTTATTCTCTGCATTTCAACAGCTGACTTCTGGAGGTCCAGAGCTTTAGGAAATCCTTATCTGGAAAAAAGCTCTGAGAATCTTTCTGGTTTCTTGTGTCTAGTCTGCAGCAGTTGTTGATGGAGGGCAATCAAACTGGATCTGTGGTAGTTTTACCATGTCATGAATGTGGGTGATTGAAGTGCTCTAGAGCCATGTTCCTGTGACTGCTCCCTCTGATACCTTGCACAAGTGATGATGCCTTGACTTTCAGATGTACAAACATAACTTGTATCACAATGTTCACCACCCTTCTGCCAAAGATTTCACACAGACATTTGTGAAACCTGAGGCAGATGTTCATCCCATTTTACAGAAGAGGGAACTGAGGTACTGCAGTGAGATGTGACTTGCCCCAGATCATGCAAGATGCCTGTGGCAGGACCAAGAAATGTCTTTTCTGAAAGGCTTCCGGGAAGCTGCCTGAGTCCAAGTTGCTGCAAATATGTACAAAAGCTAAACACAGATTTAAAATGAAACCCTTTTATATCAAGGTCTCCATATTTTCAAGGTTAAAACAAGACATAAATCCTAGGGCAGATGTGTTCACTGGAGCTGGTTTTAGCAGAGTCAGATAATGTGTTTGGAAGAATTTGGCAGCTTAGAAAGAGAAACAGAAAAGGTAGCCATTTCCCCCCACCTATACTCACTGTACCTGGGCTTCTCTTCTCTCTTCAGCTGCACCCCCTCCTTTTTCTCCTTCAGCATCCCCTCACTGCCAGCCCTTCCTTTCTGCCACACTCATTCTCTTGATTGTGTTCACTAGACCTCTGCCTTGCCTTTGCCTCTTTCAGTTCCGCCACCCCTCATCTGCTGCCTGGGGTAAAAGAGGAGGGCAGCTATGTGGCCACATCCCCCCATCTGAAGTAGTAGCTACCCAGAGGTGCTGGTGATGGTGTGGCTCTGAGAGACTCCAGGGGGGCATTGTAGATGGAGAGCTAGTGCCTGTGGTGCACGTGTATTCATCCTACCCACTGTCAGTTTTATTAGCTTAGCTGATTTGTGACTTGTGTGCCCAGTGATGGGGATTTCCAAATCAGCTAAAACAGTTTTCTGTAAAAGTAGCAGGGACAAGCCTGGTATTGAGGAACTCTTGGGAAAAAGACTGTATAAATAAAACAGGCTCTGCTGTTCATTCACACTAATGCAGTGTGAGCGATGAGTGCAGTGGGCAAGAGTCAGTTCATCTTTTCTTGAATAAAAACAATGAGGAAGATGGGAGGCAGAAGGACCAGAAGACCTGAGGTTTGCCCTTCTGGATGTGACTCAGATTCATGGGGCCATTTCTGACTAGAGATACGTGTATATTTTCTTGGATTACTGAGGGAAGAGGTCTTGTTCTGGATCTCGGAAGAATTGGGGCAGGTGTTTGTGCCTGGAAAGTTTTGGGGATGTAACCCTGTTAATCACCACACCAGGTGCAGTGTGAACCCACACACATGCACTGCCCCAGCAATGACCCTTCTTCCAATCCGGAAGAATTTCCCTCCCTGTTTTAGGCTTTACATCACATCTTCAGCATGGGCCTCTCCTGAATGCACTCTAGTATTCATGCTTGGGGTCCATTAGGAGCAAAGGTCATGAAGCCCTTTTCACGTACAATATGTCTAGCTGGGTGTGTGCAAGTTTACTTGGGCCCCAGAGGAGAGAAAAGGGGCCTCCATGACACTTCTGTCTGGCAGTTTTCCAAGTGGCCTCTGCTTATGGGTTTGCTCTGTAGGAACCTAGGAAGGGCATTTTCCAAAAATTGATCGCGTGCAACTTTCTATGACCTTGTATCCCTTGCTTTATTTTTATGAATGAGGCTCTATTAAAAGCAGGGGGTAAATGTTTTCTCTTTGTTCCTCCTTCAGTTTACAAATTTGTCTTCTCCCATAGCCAGCTGTTAAAAGATTGGTTCTGCCCCTGCTTTCACCTTTGCTATTTCATGGCTAAGACATAAAACTGAGGCCCTGACCACTTGGCATTGAAGATCCATGGCTCTTTTTGTAATGGTAGCAGTGTCCTGGCTAGTTTCCAGATTCCAGACTCTGGCATTGTCTTACAGTTTCAAGTACATCTGATGCTCTCTTGCACCCTAAATCACTGTGTGATTGTTCCTGATAAATTTTGTACCCTAAATTGTTCTTCAGAGAGGCTGTGAATTGCCAAACAGCTTCTGTGTTTCAGCTCAGAGGTGACTGATGTCTAGTGGTCGCCGAAAGGAAAGCGTATACTTCTAACTCTGCAAGCACTATTCTGAGGCTTAATTCTTTGATGTTTGCAAAAAGTTTGATATCTCCAAATGAAAGATGCAATAGAAATGTCAAATCTCATTATTATTTCCTATTGTTGTTCTCATTTCTACTTTCACTAGCTTGTGCTCCATCAGTAACACAGCCATTGATTCTTCCCAACTTGGTTTCTTTGCTATAAGATTTCATCTTCAAGGTCTTCAGCTAATGGTCAGCTACTTCCAGTATAGCTGGAAAGTGCATGCCTCTGGCCTGTGGCCAAACACCCTTTCCTTGTTGTCATTATTTTAATAAACACTGGCCGCATCTGCACAAGATGCTGACTGCTTAGTACCCCAAGTTTACTATGCAGTAGTGTTGCGTGGCAGAAACAGTGACATGACACGACTACGCAGTAGTCTTGGGCTACTGCGCAGTCAGTGTCACAAAAAAGCCATTTGTCAGTGCTACTGCACAGTAACTCGGGTTACTGTGCAGTCATTTAGTACTTGTTTATACTCATATAGATGTGGCCACTGTGTTCACGTAGGAGTCTAGCTGTTTAGCAAATTTGCTACAGCGAAGCTAGGACAAAGTGTTCACTTCATCACTGAAGCCAACATTGAAGTGCTATGCTTTACATTAATGGGGAAATTCTAGTGAGAGTGTCATTTAAAAAAAATGTCTCTGGCCTTGATTTTACTTTCATCGAAATAATGGAAATGCCGACAGATTCTTTTACAGAGTAAAGCAAGTGAGGTGGCTGTAACACGGGAAATACAAGGCAGTTAGGATTTATTCAGTGTATCCGTTTTGTTTTTCCACAACCAGTAAAGAATTTAAATTACAAATATAACATGCACTTGATCATTTTAGAGAGGCTTTTAGCCTGAGAAGAAATAATGCAGCCCAGGAGTCACTACTTTTAGCAGGTATCTTGGACAATTTTCAAAAGCAGCAGCCTATTTAGCAGGTGCAATCCAATAGTTAGACATCTAAATATCACCATCTTCATTTGCAGTTTGGTTCTTTCATTTTTAATACTCCTGAAATTAGATGCAGATTAAAAAAAAAACCCAAAACCAGACTCTTTGTTTATTAAGAGAAAAAGGGAAAGTATGAAAAAGTCAAAACACAAGACAAAGTGAAGCTGTGTCTGCACTTTGCATGGTGTGCTGCTTGAAAGCAAACATTATTTATTTAGGGCAATTTGAAAATGCCCTTTTAAAAACCTCCAATGTTTTAGAATAATCTGGCATTTAATTCTTATAAAACAAGGCAGAACACAAGTCTGCTCTGCAGTGACCTCTAGGGTACTTCAGTTTCACACCTCCAGGAACTTTTATTATGCAAAGGCAGTAGCTTGTCCCTAGTGAATGCTGTGAATCTACTTTCTGTTCTACGGCTAAATCTTGCCTCCATTTAAAATCCTTAGTAAAAGTTTCTTTCCCAACCTGATGCCCCATATAAGGTCTGACCTCAGAGGTGCTGATCATCCATAGTGCTCTGTGACATCAAAGAAAGTTGCAGGTGCTCCACATGGATCTGATCCAACACTCATTGAAGCCAATGAATACACTTCCTTTGACCTCTTGGAAACTAGATCATGCTTCAGCTCTCAGAAACAGGCTACTAGACAATACTAGTCCCTTGCACAAACTTTAGGTGTTCTTGTGTGTCCCTTATACAAAAGTGGTGTCTTTTCTTCAATATTATCATATTTCATCCAAATTTATTCCCCTTGCGGTGTTTGTTATCAAGCCTCTCCTTGCTGAACCCATTTAGCCTGACACCCTTTTGCTGCATACTTTCTCGTGAAATGTGACCTGAAAACAAAGTGCAGCCATCCAGGGGGAAAAAAAACCTGCAGACCTGACCCTGCAAACCTGTGTGTGTAGTGTTTAATCATGGGTATTATGCCATTGACTGCAGTGGGACCACTTACATGGGTAAGGGCTTGCATGACTGGGTCTTGAGATAGGAACCTGATGGAAATGAAACAAAACGAAAATGAATGCAGACCACTTGACAGCAGAAGGTTGTCAGGAAGCCAAAATGGAAACAGCTGGCCCAGCCCAAAGAAAAATCATCTGCATTAAAAAAAAGGATAATGGAAAAAAAATTCCCATAAACCTCAAGACTAAATTGTTCAAAAGCAAGACCAAAAAAATAATCACAGTAGGATATCAAAAATAAAATTGGTGCAGCTCTTCTTACAATCACTGGGATGAGATCCCAATGGCTTGTGTCCTTAAAAGTAGTCCTTATGTATTCATTTCCCAACCACCTCAGCTAACAATTGAACTTCAGGGGTGCAGATTAAAGCAATAGCAGGTGGCAATCTAATTGCTATCAATCTTATATCTGAATTTCTCATTTGTCATCTAACCTCACTACAGCTGGCTCTCAACCCCGATTATCTTCACTGCTATTACTACAGGTTCAAAGAAGATATGGATTTTTGGTCTCATTTGCATGCTGCCAAAGGCGGCTTATGTGATTTGGAATATGGGAACGGAGGAGTATACAGGTGCCATGTTTTGAGGGATGAAGTAAGAGGTGAACTATCTAGAATGCCCAACTAAGTACGCCTTTCATTCCTTTCACGAGAAATCAGTCATTGTGCGACTTGGTATTCATTATCTGACCTAGCTAACTGGTACCAGCTTGATTCTTCAAACCAAGAATGGCTGAAGGGAGGCATAATGGACACTAAGGAATAGCCATCAACAGGTCTGGTCTAGAGCCAGGAAACAGCAAGCCACTGAGGCAGCCTAGCAAATGGAAAATGCTGAGCTGCTTCAGTGATATTAGCAAGTGTCTTATTTTAATGAGTTATTTATAAAGTGAATAAAGAGGTCCTTTTTTCATTATATGTTCACAATCAACTGGAGCTATTTCTCATTCAGTATTACAAAGCAATAATTTCAAAGTTAACCCAGCTTGCTTTCCTGGTTGGCTGCTAAAGTTAGGCTCTCTGAGCAAGGAGGGACTTGGCCTGTTCTGTAAGACAGTGCACCCAGGGAGTGAGGACTCTGTGTGCTGTGGAAGGCAATTCTCTGCCTGCCTGGTGAGGAAGACCGGGACGAAGTCTAAAGCAAAGTGAGGGAGGAGCTGTCAGGGATACCCATCATCTCTCTCAGGGATACCTTATATTGATGCTTATGTTTATTACAGTTGTCATTGATCTGTACTGTGGTAGCACTGAGGAGCCCCTGTCATAGACCAGAACTACATTTTGCCTGGTCCTTCCTCAGAAAAGTGTCCTGTCAGTGCAGGCCATAAGATAGATGCATATAAAAGGACATAATTCCCAGTGCATACTTAATTACTGTGATGTTGCTGTATCTTACCAACTATACACCAGGCACTAGGCTGTGAGCCCCTTACTCACTTTGGCCAGTTACATCAATAATCAGTTCCTTTAACTTCACTGGAACCTTTTCTTGAGAAGAGCAATCCCCAATCTGAATCAGGGCTTTACCATCCAGCTTGATGGGGGCAGTATTGAGCAGTTTTCAGATCCTGATTTGGAATAAATCTTTGCAGGGACTGAAGTAGGACCTTCCTGGAGAAGATCCAGGCATGCAGAGCTGTGCTGAGAAGTTACATACAACGGCAGAGCAGCAGAAGGACTCAGCCCTGGGCAGTCTGGGTGCCATAACTGCAGCGTTAGAAGTGGTGAATGGTACAGTAATTCCAGGGTTTGCCACAAGATGGAGGCAAAGAACTTGCTTAGAATATTTAAAGGGCATGGTCACAGAGTTTTTTGGCTTTGAGAGGCCATTTCTGTCTACTCTCTTTTTGGATTTGAAAAACAGGCAAATAAGAGTGAATGTACTAAAGACTTGTACTTTCAAGATGCTGTGCTGTCCTAGTGTATCGTCTGAGACAGTGATATTCTCCCACAGAAATAGAGATACTATTAAACTCTCTTCCTCACTTTATTTTTCATTGTCATTTTTAAGCAGTATTTTATTTCCATACACAGACCAGCAAGGCAGATATGAGAAGACGTAATTTAAATCAGAGGTGAAGAGAACAGATATACCGCATCCAGTCTGTCAGGCAAGTTAATAAGCTATAATTTCTTCCCCTGAATAGGAGACTTTTTTGTTCTTAAATGTTCTTAAAAATTGACTTGGATGGTTGTTGTTTTCATACCTATCGAGGTCACCCAGCCCAGACTTTGATAGATAGTAGTTACCTATTGATGTAAGCTAGTGCTTTGCTTAGTCATTCCAAATAGTAATGTATTCTGCATTGAAATGATTGGCCAGCAGGAGTGGGGGAGTGCTATTCATTGTGAATGAGACAAACAGAATCTGGCCCATCATGTCCATCAATCCAAAGCATTTTACACACCATGGGACAAATCATGCCCTGACCCCCCTTCTTCCCCTCCCCCCGCAACACATGCACACATTTCTGTTTGTAAGGGTTGGCAAGGTTAGAAGAGTGAAATCATCAAAGTTGTATTGCAGGTGGCAATGTGAAATGTAAAAGTGAGGCAGAGAGATTGCACATACCCCTTTAAGTCATAGCACTACTTTCTGTGGCCATGTAAGGTATGAGAAAAGGTCAGCAGCCTTCCACTGTTACCATAACCCAGACACTGC